TGCTGGCCAAGGCAAGAGATGGTCATTGGCAATGGAGAGCTCGGGCAACGCGCTGCTTGAGTGCGGCTAATAAGGATGCCACCTCTCTCTCTCTCTCTCTCTCTCTCTCTCTCTCCTCCTCTCTTTCCTCCTCTACCCTATTAACAATCTCTCCTTTCTGCTCGGCTTGGATGAGAAATTCGGCACAGTAAGGAAACCAGGACAAGGAGGCCGAATGGGCTTCGGCACAAAGGGAGCGGTCTCACGTGACCGATGTTCGACTATTGTGTGTGAGAATCGGAGGAGAGGAGGATCCCGGCCATGGGTAAGGGGTCGTCGTTCACCATAAGAGCGTTACTCGGGCTGGAGGTAAAGAGGGTTGTGTCTAGTTGGAGGAAGCGAACGGGAGAAGAACTCGTGGTTTGCTGCTGGAGTCGAGAGGGGGGAGGGAGGGATCGTCAGAGAGCTCGGAACGAAGTCTCCACATCATTCGCTAATTTAATGACCTCTGTGGACGCTCAATTGATGCGAGAGCTCGTGACGAAGCGGACAGTTTCGCGACCGTTGCAAAGCACTGGGCAGGATTTTAGCAGGATATCGGGTATGCGGCCACCGATTTGAACAGGATTTGCGTGATGATTTCAGCGTTGTGGCCATTGACAGGTGTTTTTATTCTTTTTTTTATCAGAGGTTAACACACAACTATAGTTGTCATAGACCAAATATCCAACCTTGCTTCATTCGCGACCAGCTTTCTTGCTTTATAAAGCCAACTTTTAAATAAAAATTTATAATTCAAAAAAAAATTGTACTAAAAAATACTTTAAAAAAATAGGAGAGAAAGATGTTCCTAACGAACCTTAGAACATGCCTTTTTAAAGCTATTTGTTGGACAATAACCAAACAAAATTGGACTTATAACTTTAAAAAAAAAACCAACCTCAATTCTTTGTTAAAGAATGATTGGCAATGTCAATGTAAAGCTTCAAATCTTAAGGAGCCACTTCACTACCGTTTATTATCCAGCCTTTCAAAAAAATGGAGAAAAAATAGGATGTTACCCATCTTCCTTAAATTCTTCGCATTCTCTATCCCACAGCTTGGTAAGAATCTAGATGTGTAATGAAGTTCAAGCCTTAAATAATGTATAAAAAATTCATTTAAAACACTTAAATTTCTCTTGTATATTTCATAAATTTTTTATTTTTTTCGTTTTAATTTCTTATTCTGTTTATCATATTATTATTGAAAAAAATAATTCTCTTTTCATAAATAAATCAGCTCACGAGCTAAACTAAACTTAAATGAATTAAGTTCAAAATTCTTTTTTTTTTCCACTCAAACTCAAATCAAAGCATAAACTTAAACCTCAACTCCCACTCATTTACACCCCCTACTAATACCATCAAAATTTATACAAAACATATGCGGGGAAACATATAATCATATTCTCTAATAGTTTATTTGCAATGTTTTTAAAAATCGGATCACGACCGACTGGTTCAACCGGTTTCAACCGGCAAATCGGTGAACCGGACTCGTTTATAATTGAACTGACCAATCAAATTCCTAATTTTTAAAAATATTAATATATATAATATTATGTTTAAATTATAATACATTTTTTATTATAAACATTTGCCCTCAAACCATCATGAGACATCTTCACAAGGCCCCACCACTCGATGTGAGCTCTTAATACAATGAAACTCAAAAGGCTATATAAACAATAACAAGAAAGTATTTCCAGGTGATGTTGGCACTAAAGAAACAAGTTAAGGTGTGGATGAGTTCATAACATATATAATGTCTATAAAATTTATTTTTAAACAAATTGTTTAATTAATTTTTTTTATGTGAATGATAATTATTTATTAGCTAATAATAAAAATATATTTATTTATAAAATATAAAAAATTATTTATCTCTGATAATTTTATCTATTTATTAATGATTTTAGATATAAATTTATAAAATAAATTTGGTATACAACATTAATACATCCTCAAAAATTTATTTTGATCAGGCACAAATCTCGAGGAAAAATCAAGTTAGAAACTTCCAAAATTAAAATTGGTACCATTCGAACTCTGATTTCAGTAAACTTATAGTCAAACTGAATGTCTCGAGAATACAAACCCAACAACGCCAAATTTCACTCAATTCGAGTCCAAATGGGCCAAAATCAAGGGTCCGAACCACTGCTGGAAGGTTCAAACCACAGTTCAGATTACCAAACAGTTTCCAAATGTGACATGCATATAGTCGAATCGAGCAACTCCACGAGACGAATCCAATGAGCCTGATATCACATAATTTCAACATCATTAAGACCTTGAAATGGAGAGCGAATGGTCCAAGATCAAGGGATTCAACATCGGCTATCCATCCAAACCACTTCACATTTCCCTTGATCTTCCTCCTATTACGGGTCATGCCACTCTAGGAAATATATAAATAGGCAAGAGAGCAAGAGAGAGATTGGAGATCGATCTTGCCTCCTCGCTCCTCCTCAACCACCGCATCGAGTTTCGCCGAACCACCATTTGAGGCCCTAAGCTTCACAGGACCACCACTTGAGGCCCTGAGTTTTGCCGGACCACCACCTGAGGCCAGGACTTCTGTCGGACCACCACCTAGGCCTGGACTTCTGTCGAACAACCACCTAAGGCCCGGACTTCTACCGGACCACCACCTAACGCCCCGAGTTCTACTGGACCACCACTTGAGGCCCTGAGTTCTGCCGGACCACCACTTGAGGCCCTAAGTTCCGCCGGACCACCACCTGAGGCCCGGACTTCTACCGGACCACCGCCTAAGGCCTAGACTTCTGTCAGATCACCATATGATATTTGGATTTATAACGGATCACCACCTCAGGCCCGGACTTCTATCGGACCACCACCTAAGGCTCGGACTTCTGTCGGACCACCACATGATACCCGAAATTCTATTAGACCACCACATAAGGCCCAGAGTTCTACCGGAGTACCAACCTACTACCACGGTCTTTCGGACCCCTGTCTCCTGCAGACTATGGTCCTTTTGACCTATGTCGCCTACTACGGTCCTTTTGACCTCCACACCAAACAATAGTCTTTTTGACCACGGCCTGTTGCTAACTATGGCCTTTCAGACCCCTGTATCCTGCCGACTACGGTCCTTCTGACCTCTGTCGCCTACTACGATCATTCCGACCTCCATCACCAGACAATAACCTTTCTAACCCCAGTCTCCTGCTAACTACGATCATTTGGACCCCTGTCTCCTGCAAACTACATTCCTTCCGACCTTCATTACTAGACAACGACCTTTCTAACCCCTGTCTCCTGTCAACTATGGTCCTTCCTACCTTTGTCGCCTACTACGATCCTTCCTACCCCCATCACCAGACAACGGTCTTTCTGACCCCGATCTTCTGCCCACTACGATACTTCCGACCTACCTCTCCAGACAATGATCTTTCTAACCCCTATCACCTGCCGACTACGGTCCTTCCGACCTCCGTCGCCTACTACAGTCTTTCAGGCCTCTATCCTATCGACATGGTCCTGCCGGCCAAACAAATATCTCTATATGATGTACATTTGTGACATCAATCTAAGACCTTCTCCCAAGGAAGGGTCTCATTTGTAATCTACTATAAATACTAGTGGATTCATTTAAATTGGGTCAGCCCCTTGGTTTCCCCCCTTTTCAAGGGTTTCCACGTAAAAACTCTAGTATCTCTTATGAATATTATGCTATCTCTTTCATCTACTTGTGTATTGGATCTTCGTACAACAATCAGACATTAAATTATATATTTCTCTATTGCCACAAATATTTCTAGATGCAACAAGTATAAATATATAAAATATATTTAATCATATAATATAAAATAAGAATAATATATATTAAATTTATAAACTTATATTAGAATTAAATTTATATTAAATATGTAACTTAAATTAATAATAATTTATATGATTATATATAAATTAAATTTAAATTAAAAATCAAATTTAAATTTTGAAAAATATTTAAATTTAAAATTATCATATTTTTATGATTTTAAATTCTTATAATTATGAGATTTAATTTTTTTTTGCTTCTATGTTAGATTTTAAAATAATTCTTTTACTTAATTATGTAAGTTTTATATTTCATAATTTTTTTACCTAATACTTTGAATGATTACATTATTATTATGTTAATTTTATTAAATTTCAATAATATTTATTATTTATTACGTCATCCGGTTCGACCCCGGTTAGACCGCTCGAAATATAAACCTCTACTTCTTTCGATCCAATCTTCAGAGCCTTGATTATTTGTTAAATAAGAATCTCCCAAGTAACAAATAATATAACATGTTTTCTCATTATTATAAGTTGACTTCCTGTTGTAATCATTTTCACAATCATACTGTTATGGAATATCTTTGCCCATGTTAACTAATATATGATGTATTTCAACATCCAATTCTAAGGCTTCATTTACGGACATTTTTTTAATATTTTCAAAAGCAACTTTGTTTTTAATATTTTCAAAAGCAACTTTCTGATAAAAAATATTTTGTTCAAATTTTTTATAATAAAAAATAATTTTATAAAATAATAAGAAACTCATCTCAAACAAAACCTAAAACCTCCAAATACTTCATTGGTTATTCAATCATTTGAATGTACTGGTGCTTTATGATGGCTATCAACTATCCCCGTGACACCAAGATTGTTCTTAGACGAATACACAAGTCTATTCATGGGAGAAATTATTTAGTGTGGAGTCCGGACAAAAATGACAGTCTGGACTATGAGTGTACACACTGTGTACAAACAAAATGTACATTGATTTGATATACACTGTGTACAAATGTGTATACAATGAGTACACTCACATGTTCGGACGATTCTTTTCATCCGAACTCCGCATAGAGTAATCTCTATTCATGGACACCCACAAGTTTGATGAAAACTCTCCCCCTTCTTTCCTTCCTTCAAATACAACCCCATTTCCCTTGTATATCAACAAAAAAAAAGTACAAACAATTATCAACTATATCAAGCTATTATACACTCCTGGCATCAAGAATAGTCTTTCCATTTCCACATTCACATTATACAGTCGCCTAAAATTGACCCCAGCATGGTTACCATCGAGTAGAAGGGCTCTTTCAAATGATTACATTCCCAGGAAATCTCTACCACCCCAATCAAAATGGGGACCAAAAGAAGAAATCCATTTAACAGAATGGTACGCATTCCCATTTTGGAAGAAAGATCAATCCGTTGCAGTTAAAATAATAGAAAACTCACTTCCTATACTCTGCATCTGGATCATCTGAATCCTCACTCCCTGAGGACCCATCTTGATGCTGATGATGTTCCTCCCCATTATCTGTCTTATTTCTTTTTTCTTTCCTTTTAAGCTTCTTCTTCTGCCGTTTAGCTCGCTTCTTTGATGTTCTTTCCTCAGCGGCCTTCAATCTTTCTTCTCTCCTCATATTGAACTCAGCCAACTCCTTCCTTCTTTGGTAGTCAACATCCATTCTCATCAATCGATCTTGCTCCTTTCTCCTCATTTGGCGATACTGTAGCACAAGTTATAGATGAGAGAAACAAAGAAAATCTTTTTGGTCTCAGATCTCAATAATAGTTTGGGAAAATTAAATACTTAACATTTAAATCTTATATATTTAGAAAACTAACATCTATCTCTTCATTGATAATAGTACAACATGAATCTTGAAGATCAAAACAAAATATTAATCCATATTTTTCGTTTTCATTAAATTATCTATAATTTTGTTATAGCACATGAATTTGATGGTCCACTTTAAAAAACGCAGACGTTAGTTTTATAAATTGGAAAATGTTTCAGTGGGTATGCGTATGAATCTCCCCAACAGTTTTTGATATTTCATTATTAAATTACTAATAAGCAAATTATCTTAAACCTATGTTGCACCGATACGGATACGGCGACACGGATACGACAAGATATGGATATGGATACGTCAATTCTTAAAAATGCAAGATACGGGTACGGCATGGACACGGCATTATAATTTATAAATCATACATAAAAATTAAGAAAACAATCAAAGCATAATATTTGACATTACAAAAAAAAATGAAAGTAGCGTCATTTGTAGCCTTGTAACTTATAATATTAAAATAAAAGTAAGCATTAAATGTCTATTACAACAACATAAGCATAAACATAAATTGTCTAGCACATGAAGTTTCAACTATTCAATATAAGGAATGACATGATTAGCTTCTCCAGTGGTTTGTCTATGAACTTTTATATCATCTTCAATAAATATCATAATTTCCAACTCAGGCTCATCAAGTGAAAGATTAGCAATTTCTAATATTCTCATATCATCAAGAGACTCAAATCCATCTCGGAAATGATAGAACCTCGCTCGCAGTCGTGGAAGCAAATACGACGCATCTTTTTTCGGATTTTTTTTTTGTTTTCAACCGAAATGCGTATCGGATACGTGTGTCCTTTTGAAATTAAATAATACTTTAATTGGATAGGGCTTTGCCGTTTCCTACATGTATCGATGCTGTATCAGAAGAATATCCGTGTATCGGATACAGCATACCTTCATAAATAGATGTATCGGTGCAACAAAGTCCTAAACAAATTTAGTAAACAACTATAATTTGTGCATGTATAGCCTAAAAGATGAGATTAAATCTCCTGTTGATGATTTAAAAAAAAAATAAACTTGGGGCAATTCTATCTATTCCATCCATGTTATCATTCATGCTCGCTTTTCTATTAAAGGATTTCATGCCCTCAACTATTGCTCTATCAACTCACCTCTTCTTCATCCTCAAAATTTACCCTATAACTTGAAGAATCTCTTATACCCATAGTTTCAGAGTGAACATCCTTATTTCTAATATGTTTTATATTTGTCGCATCACCTCATGTTAAATTATCATAAAAAATTAATTCATCTTTCATACTTGAAATATTAGGGGAAGTCAGCTGGGGTCATGTGTGTGTGAGAAGGCGGGAGGCTAAGTTAGGCGGCTACCTTGCATGCAGCAGAGGGAGACAAGCTCAGTTGCTGCTAAGGGAGACGCAAGGGAATGAGTCAGAATTGGGGGTTTTCCTTCGGCTTCCTGTGTCTGTGTGCGGAACAGAGAGACAAGAGGGGGAGATCAAGCGATAGGAAGGGCAGGCGGTTGCGTGTGTGAGAGTCGAATAAAGAGTCACAGAGCGAGTTTAGTGAGAGGGGGAGTTCTTTTTTGTCCTATCAGTGGTAGTTACGGGAGTTATGAGGTAGAGAGAGGGAGTTTCGTTTGGGGAGTGAACCTTTGTGTCATTTGGGAGTGAACTAGCGTGAGGTGGGGTCAGTGGTCAACACCTAAGGACCATAATCGACAGGCACTGTAATCAATGGACAACTGTAGTCAGAAAGACGACAGTCGAGCAACTGTGGTCGGATGAACCGTAGTATGACGATAATGGTCGAAGGAATTGTAGTTGGGTGATGATGGTCAGAGGGACTGTAATTGGGTGACTAAGGTTGATGGGATTGTAGTCCAGCGTTAGCAGTCGGAGGGATTGTAGTGAAGTGATAGTGGTAAGTGGAATTGTAGTTGGTCGACGATGGAGGTCGGAAGGAGTATAGTCAACATACCATAATCGAGCGATTGAGGTCACAAGGGTTGTATTCTAGCAATGGTTGTCTGAAGACCGAAGTCGGCGAGCAATGGAAGTCAAAAGGACTATAGTTAGGCAATGGTGGACCAAGGATTATACTCGGGTGACGTGATCCAAGGCCCGTATTCGGCGGGTGATTGAGGTTGGAAAGACCGTAGTCGGGCAACGGAGGGTCGTAGTTGAGTGATAGTAGTCTAAAGAACCATAGTAGGGTGACGGTGGTAAGAGGGACTATAGTCGGGTGATGGTTGTCAGAGAGATCGTAGTCGAGCGATTGGGATCTAAGGGACCATATTAAGGCGATTGAGGTCGAAGGGACCGTAGTTAGGCGCCAGAGATCCAACAGCAATGGCAAAATACAGGTCAGACAGCAATGGTCAAGCAGTCCAGCTACGACAGCCTGGTTGAGGTCCGATGACGATCAGCCAGTGAAATTCTCGTGGCAATGGCCGAACGGCGAGAGTTCGCTGGAGGTGTTGCTCTGAGATTCATGCCTTAGAGCTATCTTGAATCTCTAGCCCAAGGTCTCATTTCCTCTCCAAAAGTCCTCATGTAAAGAGTGGAGGTCAATTTATATATTTTGAGAGTAGCATGCCCTATAAATATGAAGAAGATCAAGAACAAATTCAGAGTGCTCTATCAGACGACCCACATTGATTCTCTTGAACATGGAGCATTTGTTCAGCTTTTTTTTGCCTAAATGGTGTCCAAATCAAGCAATCTTGGGCTCATTGGATTCATCTTATAGCTACTAGATTGAACTATAAGCATGTCATATGTGGAGATCATTTGCTCATCTAATTGAACTCTGGAAGCTTCCAAATATGCTTAAAGCCCTTGATTTGGGCTCATTTGGGCTCGAATTTGACTGATTTTGATGTCATCAGGTTTGTCTCATCGAGATATTTAGTTTGGCTATAAGTTTGTTCAAATTGGAGTTTGGATTGTCCCAAATTTAATCTTGGAAGTTCCAAATTTGATATGCCTAAAGATTCGTGTTCGATCAATAATATTTTCAGGGACGTATCACTCCACTTGTTCAATATGTCTCTTTAGTTGGAGATGATGCTTCACATGTACATAACCCCACTCTACTAATCTTCTTTGAAGTTCAGTCCATTATTACAGAAGAAGCTCTCATAAATCTAGCTACAATTCACAAATTTCTAATTAGATGAAATGATAAACCCCCTAAAGAAGATACTTGGATAACCCGAAAAGATTTGGAGAAGCTTACCCCTCAATTGGTAGAAGACAACTTGGATTTCAACTTTCTGGAGAAAATTCAAATGAGCTCAAGGGAGCTGATGTAGCACAATAATTGAATAGAAAATATAAAGCTAAAGATCCAATTATAAGAGCCGAAAAAGTTGCTAATAAGATAAGGGCCTAGTTATGAGAGCCCAATCATAAAGAAATAATTAAATTAGAGTTTTAATATTTAAATTTCAAATTTAGCATATCAAAAAATTGATTTTTCTTAGAGAACATGAATGAGTTAGTCATTTAATATAGATAATATGAATTACTGAAAGTGATTGTCATTTTCCTCCATTAATAACAACCTATTCCCTCTTTAACCCCAAAATGTTTCTCTTATTTTTGAATTATAACAGTCATTGCAACTTCCAAATTGTTGTTGGTATGTAATGAGAATTTTTAACTTTTTAATGAAAATTTTAGAGGAATTCATTCTCTTTTGATTAGTATTTGGTGGCCTACTTGACAAATCTTAGTAGGATTGATTAGTTTTTTTTTTCATTATTACTCTTTTTAACTCTTGGTATCATCTTTCTTTCACATTCTAACCATTTTTCAAGATTAGTCATCAACAACTCAAGCCTAAAAAGGACAGCCCAACCCTCTTTAAATCCCTCGGCCTAGTTTAGGTTCCTTTACATCTAGTCTTATTCTTCATATCACTACAGACATTTAAACTCACAAAACTCTACCATCTAGTTCAGATCATAAGTACACATCTCAATATAATCATCTAACATTATTTTCAACGATATTATTTTGTAAGGCTATTTTAGATAATTATCTTAACTCCCTCGACCTAATTCTATATCCTCCTCCATCCTTGGTCATCCCCTCCCTCTTTTATGCATGTAAATTAATAATTGCAATTTAGTCCCTGCTTAATTATATTTGCAAATATAGTATTCCAAGGTTAATCATGCAAAGTTTTTCAGAAAAAAGATGAATAAAAATTTCCTATGCATGATGGTTTGAAAAAAATAGAATAAATATTTAGTTGTATTTATTTTTAATATTAGTTAAGGCATTTTTTTCTTAATAAATTCTAAAATTGCATTTAACAAAAGTATATTTCATAGAAACATACATGATTGGCTTTTTAAAAACTCACACTTCAGATTTCACACAACAATTTTTCTTTGTATAGCACTACAATTCCTATTGCTGAACACCCTAAAATTGATTATATTTTATGAGAAAAGTATAATCAGGAAATAAAAAGTTTGACGATTTTGGTATTGCTATTGATACTTGATGTAATCAATAGCAATTTAAAACTCTTTGACCACTACTATTTTTAATTCTACTCAATAATCTATTATGTACAACTTTAATAAGTTCATCATATCTTAGACCTACAATTTCTTTTTAATCTGCAACGAACTAATTCTAGAGGCACTTGATGAGTATATGGCCTCTTAAGATCAACAGCTTCATATGTATATGCTTTTCCCCTAGTTGCTTAAAAATAAAAATTACCATCAGAGAGGAATTTCATGGCATAAATCAAATTGATCCTTCTCATATAGAGATGAGTTTTATATATCCATGTCTATACCATCTCCTACAACTTTATTGTGTAGCTCATGAGTTTGATACCCCAATAATAACCATAAATCATGAACAACTCATTTCTTCTTA